CCAGCCCTGTAAAGATACCATCTATATAGCTATTTTTCAAGTTATAACCTGCATTAAAAGCAAATTATCAGGGCTTTTGTTTTTAAATCAGAATTGGAAGGCTGGATTCAGCGAAAAACTATGGTATTTTAATCCAAATTGAAGGTGTCTCAGTAAAATAAATTTAATTCTGGTGCAAATCCACTCTAAGCAACTACAAGTCTAAATTGGTACAACTTATATAGCGAAGTTTCCCTGAATGCAAACTGCACCCCCAGTTTGCATGCATTTATGTAACTTATACCCACTTATATGAAAAGTTAATTGCTACTAGACAAACTTTAAAAGAAAATTGTAGCTCAGACTGATTTGACAGAACACTAAAACATTACTGAAAAGTGACTTTCAAAAGCCTGGCATCAGACTTGCATTAGCAGTGGAATCAAAAGAGACAATGGATACAAAGAAAACAATGGTATATGGGTCTACAGAACTGAAAATTTGTTAACGCAAAGCACTCAGAGTATCTTCTATGCCTAAATATACTAGGAAGCCATTCTTCCTTTTTGATATTCAAGAAAAAAGTCCTTCAGAATTTTGTCTGTACTGCAAAAGTTGCTGATCAGTCATCGAAGGCACTGATTGCACATCCTGGCAGCTTCGCAGTCCTGAACAAGTTCCATCTGTTCTACTGGAGGCCCATGGCAATCTGCAGTCCCAGCCTTCTACTTGCTGTTCTGGCCTCAGAATACTACCTACAATTTCTCTCAGACAATCTAGTAAATTCTCTGTCATGTACATGCAATCTATGCTCAGATCCACTGTCACAGCATTAAGAGCAAAAGATTCAGAGAAAAAGACAGCAAGTACTCAGAGAAAAACAATCTTGGATTTCATCTGTAGCCTAATATCCAAATTCTAAGGCTCTGTGCCCGTCTTTCTTTTTCCATGATAAAAAAGTTGTGCAAAAGCTTAAAAAAAAAAGAAATTATTCCTTTTTTCCACTAATCTGCAATATTAATCTCTCAACCCAGGTAATATGAGCCTCTTTCTAAAGAAAAAAATGGTTAAGGGAATTAAATGTTGAACTACTAGAAGGCTAAATAAATGCAATGTAAAGTGGGTAGGGAAAAACCTGCTGGCTTTTGTTTCTGGAAAAATCAGTAGACTGTAGAGAAAATCTGAAAAAATTATATGGGAAAAGTGAGTTTCTTTGGCCACAGGACAGTCTCATAGCATGGAAGGAAAGCCACGTCCTTTAGGATTTCATTCAACTGACCAAAAAAAATGAAGACTCCATTGCGGTCTATGATATGGGAGGGCCATGCTCAGTTCTCTTCTTTACTAAATAGCCTGAGAGATCCTGGATTTAAAACAAATCAAGGAAGTTTTCACTTAAGGATGAGTTGCAAAGCACATTCTGAGACAATGATAGTCAGTGAGATATCTCAAATATGTTGTACTGAAGAGATAAGGGAATTTGAAGACATTATATTTTAACAAAGTCTCTATAAGCCTATCCAGGCTCCAAAATTCATCTGGAAGTGTAGATTTAGAAATGACATTAGAACTATTCAATCATAGCCAATTGAGAGCTTTCACCAAAGAGACTTCAGATTTTTCCCTCAAGTCTTCTTCCCTGGACTCTTCCCACCTCTACAAAGCAAGAGCAGTACACATCCGGACATGTTTGCTGTAGACATTGACCAAACATATGTTGATCCATGAAGACTTTTAAAATGGTGCAAACTGCACTGTGCAGTGTCATTGAGGACACATAAAAAGACTTAAATCAGTCATAGAAAGAAGCGAAACTTCCATCAGCTCTGGAGAAAAAACAGGCCATCATGCTCATTAAAAGCAAGAAGCAATCACCGGGACTCTCTTTGATTCAAAGCCTTGTTTTTAAAATAGGTTTCAGTGCAACCGGAACTATCATCATAGGGTGCTACACGTAAGATGGGAAAAGGAGGCAATCCCTCTTAGAGCATATGGTCTCCCTCTTGTTCCTTATTGCTTGTAGTAGGTCACTCATCTAGGAGAATATCACCAAGGTAAAACAGTGAGAACTGAATGCTTGGAAGGGAGAGAAGTTGCGGAGGTTTCAGAATCTTAGCACTACCAAGTCATGACATCCAAGTCAACTCATCCATTAGCAGGGCTTAGAAACGGTTCACGTTTATACCAGAAGTTGTACAAAGGCTCAGATCTCTTCCTTCATTTTGTGGTAACACAAAATTTTTCCCTGTCAAAAATCAAGGCTACGCTGGCACCTCCGACAGCTGCTTGCTAAGGGCTGAAGGCTAAGTCTGCTTTCAGCTGACCCTACTCAAAATGAAAGTGAAAGAGTTGAGGTCACAGAGTCATATGGGCATCATGTAACATTCCTCAGAGGACAAAGTTCCCCAAGACACAGGAGAGCTCCACTACAATTTTCAGTCATGCCATATCCCAGTATTCACAGAAGACTGGAAAAATAGTCACAATCCCTACAGAACAAAAACTCCAAAAAAGCAGAAATGTCAGCAGGTCAGCAAGAACTTCCAGGCCAGGTGGACTGGGTTGCACAGTTCGGAATACACAGAATACCTTAAAAATCCAAAGAACTGCAAGAACAATCCTTACATATAATTGCAGAACATCTCGATTCCCCTGCCCACCTAACCAATCCATACAGTGACAGCAGTGCCTCCACAAGTTCTACTGTGCGTCCCCGCAGTAGGTCAAGGCTTACGGTTCATTTTACTGACCAGGCACTTTCAGTCACAAACAGCATTTGGTCCTTCCTCTGAACTGCTGCGTCTTCTTCCGTCTTTGGTATAGGAGTGGTACCATTTTGAACACTGTCAGTGCTCAGCAGATTTCTAAGAAAAACAAACAAACAACAACATTTCTTTCCTGGTCTTGGTGGTCACTTAATTCACTATCATAACACGCGAAGTGCAAACCTGCGTATTTAAGGTCTGTGAAATACCCATGCACAATTCCATTTCAGTAACAGACACTATAAAGGAGGCAGAATCAACTTTCAAAAAACTAATTTTAATCAAAACAAAAAAAATTGTTGATCATTAACAAGTTTATAAAACAGTGATTTAGTTACATAAATAAATTGATATCAGTGTATCAAATCTTAATTACTTTCAACTTCATGAGCATGTTTACATGGGTGATGAAGTACAACCTTTTTATCTATTATAATAAATAAAATGGAGAGCATGAAATAGTTTTTCTAAACAAAAATACCTACAAACATACCTCTAGCATGTTCTCTAATGAAGGGAACAAGAGACACTGGACAACTTTTGCACCAAAACATAAGAACTGCTTTAAAAAGCACAAGGATACAGAACCATCAGCTAAAGTAAAGACACTATACTGTAACCAAAGTTGGTATTTAATAATATAATGAACAGTTTGGTAGTTAGATCTCCAGTTTGGTTATTTTAAAGCATTAAGACAAGGCAAGATAGAAGGCTGCTTTTGTTTGAGTAATTCTAGAGAAAATAAAATATATTAAAAAAACAAACTGAAAAGTAGAACAGTCATACCTACACAACTTTCTGTCCTGCACAAAGTCAAAATACCTATGCAGAATATATATATATATAATATATATATGCTATTTGTGCACAAAGGTTAGCTTATTATTAGCTCACTGCAAAGGCATAATGTATCATGCCAATCATTTTGGAAAAAAAATTATGTTTTGTGTCAAAAAGGATATTTCTTTAAGTTTTCTAGGCTAGGAGGCACAAACCCCGATTCTGGCATACTGTATTCTTAATGCTAAGGCTTGCTGCTCTGGCTGTGTATTTTTTTGTTGTCCCTCTTTACTATAGTGCCTGTTACAAGCATGTGTGTATGTGTGCATACATATATATGTATACACAGGTTGTATAAATATATATATATAAAATTTCCCCCAATAGGTATCAGTCCAACCATGCAATCCAAAAGGTGGCTCTGCATAGATGCCCAGCATATAGTTCACCACCTGAGCCAACCCTGAAGCAAGGCGCACTTTAGTCCTTCTGATAGGTTATCTTTATTGTTTAAAACCAAGCTACTGCAGCTTCAAGTATTTTGCATTACATAG